ACAACAGTTTTGTGATGAGATACGGTCGTTCCAAATAATTAGTTGGAGGTCGCGTCTCTCTCCTCCTCTATCACCCACCATATAACAATTACAGACATTTTATACATTTAAAGCACCACGAAAGGTAACCGCATTAATCACCCTCGTAGTCTCTAATAGAAGCACTGCAAAGTAACCGTATTAATCAATGTTATTTTGACTTACGGGGAATTTAACCTATACTTCTTTTACCGCCTTACAGTCTTCGTATTTAGTGAGTGAAGGGTCGGGACTAATCTACCCGCCTCTCTCAAACACTATTTTTGCTCTAGATCCAGGACTGAATACCCTTCTCTAAGCACTTCCCCAATATCCCCAACTTGTAACATGTATTGTATTTCCCACCGTGACTAAGAACAGTGAGAATGCTGCTGACAACTCTAAAGTTTTAGTATAATCAATCACAGATTTTTGATATTCAAAACAGGTGTCTGCTCAGCTTTTGTGTATAGCGCGCTTGCAGTTGTCAACAGTGTCTCTCTGTCCTCCCCCTGGACTGGATTCTGTCCCCTGGCTGTCGGCGTCCCTTTCTAGAGATCAGCTCACAAACGTCGGGGTCACCACTTGTTGGAGTAGAACACTTCTGCTACGCGCCGTTCGTTGGATGAGGCTGGATCTCTATTAAATTAAGAAAGGAATTGAAAACACCGGAATCAAAGTTATAACAAATTATCTGAGTTTACTTCTAGTAGGAAACCAAACACATATACAAGTTATACAGAGTACTCGAGCACTCCGGACTTTCAGGTTTGTGATGCGATGCGGATAAATGCGTCAGGATCAAACCACTCATCAAACCAAAAAGAAATTGGACTTCAGGTTTGTGATGCGATGCGGATACAGTTATCAGGACCTGCCAACTCACCAAACCCAAAAGCATTTTTACACACACAAACATCAGTATTCATATCTGTCCTTGGGACGGAGATGGGTCATCTCTTCCTTCCCACTTTACTCCCAAGCGAATCAGAGAGCCCCTGGGGAGGAGCTGTTTAAACTGACCACCTCCCCCAAGTGCCCTGACTGGCTGGATTCGCTTCTGGCCGGGTTCAATCAGAGGTCTGACCAGAGAATGAGATCCCAAGCCACCCCAGGTCAAAAGTCAATGTTTATCTTTACCTTATCTTACTCTACATTCCTTTCCCAGGGGATATTTTCACCTAAACTATCCTCCTTCAGACATTTAAACTCTTCTCCACCTATTTAACGATGTCTTTTAACGACTTAATGACCGCATCTGGCTTTTATGGATGATAAGAAGGATGTTGGTGTGTTGAAACACAGAATCTCTGGATCAGTGAGTTTGAAAGTAAGAATAACATTCCTATTCTAAGTGACTTATCAAAACCCGTTTGTGATTACCTAAAACAGTTCAAACAATACATGTTTACTTCAATACAGTGTAGAATCATATCTTTTTACTTCACTGTCAGACCAGACCTTTATATATACAGTCTATGTGTCAGACTAGCGAATGGGCACATTTCAATTTCAGGAGAATAATGAAGATGTGATTGGTTGTTCCACTCTCCGTTTCTCACGAGACCAGCGCGCTGCTGTTTACATTAGTGTGGACTGGACCGACTGAAACTGACGGCAAGGTTAATTATTGTGGAAGGATGGACCCCCATCCTGCAACAAAAGTCAGCGAAATGTGCTAAAATCAATGATTTATTCAGAACCCCCTGTATGGTATAGAATGATGAAGCAGAAAGTAAGTGAGCGAACATTATGAGCCACTATTCTTTCTATATTGTAGCCTGATGTGCACATCGACTGTCAACAAAACAGTTTCTCAGTCCAATGCTAAGTTAGTGGCAGGCCCTGTGTGACTGGAGACTATAATGGCACGTTTCCACTACACGGCCTCGCTCGGCCTCGCTTGGCCTCGTTAGGACCAGCTCACTTTATGGCGCGTTTCCATTACAGTTTAGGAACTGGGGTAGTATCTATAGTAACGCAGTGTAGGCGGAGCGACGCTGCTTAAAACTGCCGTGACGTCATCTTCAATGCGACAATGCGACACAACACACAACAATGGAGGATGTGGAAAAGATCGTTTGCTTGTTGCTTGCTGTGTGGTTTATTATCACAAGAAATAGGCAAGAGATGTTTCGAAAGAGGCGACTTGTAGCAAGACGAGGTATAGAAGAAGCTGATGCGAGAGTTCGGGCAGCCCTACGCCGCAGAGACTACAGGACGACTCGAACTACTACTACTAATACTTCTTCTTCTAGACTACAATGCTACTTGGTAAGCTAACGTTCGCTAACTAGCAATGTGTTTAGGCTCACGCTCCCTATACGACCAAAGTATTTCAAGTATTTAATTAATTGTAGCTACCACTTTTACGTATTAAAATATGTATGCTTTTGTTTGTGTATTTCAGAAGTTACGTCGCCGCCCTAGACCATGTGTTTGGATGCTCGACCGAGCTACCGAGTGGTGGAATGTGATTGTTCCATCTTTCACACACACTCAGTGGGTGGAGAACTTCAGGATGTCTGAGGAAACCTACGTCTACCTGTGCAACAAACTGCGGCCAGCGATGGAGTGACAGGACACACCATTCCGCGAGTGTATACCTTTAAAGAAGAGAGTGGCCATCGCACTGTGGAAGCTTGCTACCGGCTCAGAGTACAGAAGCATAGGACATCTTTTCGGAGTGAGCAAGACAACTGTGTGCCGGTGTGTGCAAGACTTCTGTGCTGCTGCAGAGACTTTGTTAGTACCGGAACTAATTCGTTCACCAGACCGGGAGAAATTTGCAGAAATGGCTGCCTACACTGAGAACAGGTGGGGGCTCCCTCCAACCCAGTCTCACGGCATTTTGTGTTATAGTCACGAAATTAATTTAATCTATTGATTCGTGTTCACCAACACGATTTTCACATTTTTTTCGTGTCACACAGAACGATTTTAAATGCAATGTATTTCTATTGGTAGTATGTTTCGTGCCTGCAACACGTATTTTTGTCCGGTCGGGTCTTGGAAGACCAGAAGCTGTGTGGTTCATAAACACATTTTCTTACTCAATATCTTACCCTAAGCCTAACCCTATCCCTTTTATTTTAAATTGTATAATGTCTGAGTTTTTTTGCCGTCCGCGAGGAAAATAAATGGGGCTCAGAGCCTCAGAATACTGAAATCTGTATTTTTTGTCATCTTTTTTTCCTTCTAATTTGTTATTATTTGGTGCAGGCACGAAACATACTACCAATAGAAATACATTGCTTCTAAAAATCGTTCGGTGTCAGAATACTGAAATCTGTTTTTCCTTCTAATTTGTTATTATTACATTGCTTTTAAAAATCGTTCTGGGTGACACGAAAAAAATGGCGAAATCGTGTTGGTGAACACGAATCAATAGATTAATTTCGTGACTATACCACGAAATGCCGTGAGACTGTGTTGCTCCCTCAGTGTGTAGGTGCTATTGATGGGTCACACACACCCATCTTGGCACCACAGGAATACCACTGTGACTATTTCAACCGTAAAGGCTGGCACTCCATCATCCTTCAAGGAGTTGTAGATGGAAAGGGACATTTCTGGAATGTGTTTGCAGGAATGCCTGGGAGCTTGCATGATGCTCGGGTTTTGAGACTGTCCACATTTTGGGAGTTGGCCAGTCGTGGCAACTACTTTCCAGCTTGCACCAGGAACATTGGTGGGGTGAATGCTGGCTATTACATCCTGGGAGACAATGCCTATCCCTTGCAAAACTGGCTCTTAAAACCCTTCCCTGACACTGGACGGCTAACAGAAGAACATGTGACATACAACAAGAAGATTTGCAGAGCACGGGTAGTGGTAGAAAACGCTTTTGGTAGACTGAAGGGAAGGTGGCGTTGCCTCATGAAAAGAAATGACTGTGATGTGAAACTTGTGAAATCAATGGTGCTGACATGCTGTGCTCTGCATAACCTCTGCGAGAGTCATGGAGAAACCTATGATGATGGGTGGGATGCACCAGCAGCAGCAGAGCCAGGGGTAGCAGTGGCACAAGGTGCAGAGGAGGAGGGCAGGGACATACGAGAGGGTCTGATGCGCTACCTGAATACCTAAATATTCATTGTATGGTATTGAACATAAATAAATCTTTTTTTTTTCACATACATGTGTTTGTCAAATTATTTAAACCCAAAACATGTTATCAGAATTGACTATTTAGTAAATATTTGAATTTCAAGCACCAGTACTTACTGCCCCATAATAATAATAATCTAAAAAATTAAGCAAATATCAAAGCAAACTATAAACATAAATACAAAAGTGTAAAACACAGCAGAACTATATTCAGCCTCAAGGTTCAAGGTTTTGTATTGTGTCATACGAACATAGCAACAGTGTAGTTATGACAATGACAATCTTAGGTCACAGGCTCCTCCAACAGTGCAACACAATAACCCAGATAAACAGAAATATAGTGCAAGTAAATATTAAGCGCTGTGCACCGCTCTCTTTGTATAGGCGTTTTCTTTTGTTCTCTTCTCTTTTAAATATATAAGCAATGTGTTTGAGTCTAGCACAACGAGGGTATTACAATTGAGCAATTTTTACTACATGTATTATTTATTTATCATGTATTCTTAATACCATTACAAAATATGTAATGTTCTGTTTTAGAGGAGGACCTCAAGCTAGCAAACTCAATTTCAAACAGTATGCAGAGTTGTCCTGCTAAAGACTTCAAATGTATTATTTAACCAAGTATTTATTCTCTTATTTGCTTTAATTGCAACAGATAAAGGTTTCACTGCACAGTGCTTTGTGGACGATGATGGTGTTTATGATATTTCTGACTGCAGAGGGATGCCTAGATGATGCCATCTTTCTGTGTGATCGCTGTTGGGTGCAATTATTTATCAACAAGCAATAAGATAAGTCAAAGAAGTACTTTATTTAACACAATTTGGGAAGTGTTTTCTTGCAGCAGCATAAAAAGACATGGCATTGATTGTAAAAATAAACATATTTTTTTAAAGATAAAAAATAAACAAGAAAGTACAAATGTAAATAAACAATATCATCTCAGCCAGAGGTTATTTGTTGGATCACAGAGGCGGAGGAGACGGGGCTCGTTGGCTGCCCGTTCCCACTAGCACCTGGTAGTGATGTGACGTTCGCGAACGATCCGATTCTTTTGAACGGCTCTTTGGTACGAACGAAGGGAACCGAGTCGTACTTGGTGAGAGCCGTTCTTTTTATCGTTGGTTCGCTGCCTGCTATAAATCCACTCGCCTTTACGGGAACTTGCTTTCCTGAATGTAAATGTTCCGTAGATGATGATGGCATAACGCATGCTGCTTGAGTAGTAGTTTGGCTGACAGAGATGCAAGTTATACATTTTCTGTGAGTAAAAGAAGATTTCTGGCAATACAGTCAATCATTATCCTGGTGATTATTTTGCAGATAAATCTATTAACCCCGCGCCCTTAAAAAAAACTCTTTTGAACGGCTCTCGGAAAGGAACGGAGCCATAAGATCCGGCTCCCTTCAAAGAGCCGTAATTCCCATCACTAGCACCTGGCAAAGAGTGCGCAGGAAGGATACATTAAAGCTCTCTGCGTGAGCGATCTCCTCCCTTCTCAAGGCTGCTTCCAACAGCCTCGCCTCCACCAAGGTCTGGTTCATGTGCTGAGCCTGCAGGGCCCGGTCTTCCTTTTGCTGGGCCCGGTCTTCCCTCTGCTGGGCCAGGTTCTGCTCCTGGTGTTCCTTCTGCTGGGCCAGTTGCCGTTCCAGCAGGGCCAGATCCTCTCCTCCTCGGTTCCTCTTGCCTGGGTGACAAGATAATTATATAAATAATAATTAGCAATAAGAATGAAAAAACACAGGACAGGTACAGGTCACACAAGGATATAAGAATAAAATGTATAAACAGAACAACAGTAAGGATGAATTAAAGAAAGTTCTGGCCCTAGATACTAGCTGCTTACTAGCTAGTTACTTTACTTGTAACAGAGCATTCCCACACAGTGGTACAGCTTATTTTACTTACTGACGATGGATGGTCTAAAGTTTTTTTTAAAAGTCACAATTCTAGCCTATTTCTTACCTAGAACCACACGCAGCGGTGTCGAGCTGGCACTCGGCGTTGGTGTCTGTGCTCGTGTTGGTGTCTGTGTCTGTGGTCGAGCTGGAGTTTGTGCTGTTGATATGGAGGATGTCGATGCAGAGGACGTTGTTGGGAACGGTTCCTCCTCGCTAGTCCCAATGTAATCATCTAGAACAGAAACATGACTTGTTAATTCCACAAACTACTGCAGCACAATACTATAAATAGCAACAACAACTATAGAAAAGACAAACTGAACGTAAACAATGGCATATATGGTGTTAGCAAACAATAGCTCTAGCTAATGCTATCTGCCTTAGCTAGCTAGCTAGCCTTCGGGGCTCCATAAAAGCATGGGTTGTCGAACATAAATGTAAGGATAAAATAGACTTATTTGTTAGAAGTGAGCTTTAGAACAGATAGGGACACAAAGCTTTACAATACAGACATTGCAGCACATCGTTTCACGTCTTTGTACAGCCTTTCTCAGCATTAAAGTGCAATGTGTTGGCGAACCTTTGTTTCCTCCTGACCAGCTCATACTGACAGTATACCTTAAAGGTATACTAAATTCAATTCAATAGCTTTATTAGCATGACCTCAGTTACATATAGTATTGCCAAAGCTCTGTATAGTTGCAACATCTATACAAAATATATATATATACAATAACAGGGATGCAAACTTGTCACCTTTCGGCGAAATTCGCCGTTTTGAATCCAAAATAGGTAGTTTGTGTGATTCATGTAGATCTGCAATAAAAATATTTTTGGGGTATGGGGGGGGTCTGGGACCTGGAGTAATCTGCGGCCACGAGCTGTTATGTGCCATCATGACACGCATGGTGTTCTTTTTTTATATATTATAATGAAGCGTGAGCTGTGTGCTCGAGTCTTCCTGCCTGTCGGCTCTGCTCATGGATGTATAATAAGGCTCTGCTGCTCTGCGATGATGGTCTAGCTTCAGCAGCTACATTACCTACGGGTGCGTTCGTTAATATTAACTGTGCGGTCCGGAGTCACTGTGGCACAGACTGGACCGCTGGTGAACAGCTGTTAGAACGGGCCGTTCAGGTGTTCAGATCAGAGCTCCTTGTCGGAGCGGCAGAGTGTGATGTGCACTGAAAAGTGTTCCTGTCGCAATATTATCGTTGAGCTAGCTAACTAGCATACATTGTCACTATCTGCTAACGTTAGCTTTAGCCTTCGTTTTCAAATAGTTTTTTTCATAGGCTATAAACGGAGGTGGTATAAGTATATATCTTGTACTTGAGTAAAAGTAGAAGCACTCAGATCTTGTACTAGAGTAAAAGTAGAAGTACTCAGATCTTGTACTAGAGTAAAAGTAGAAGTACTCAGGTCTTGTTCGTAAAAGTAGAAGTACTCAGATCTTGTACTTGAGTAAAAGTAGAAGTACTCAGGTCTTGTACTTGAGTAAAAGTAGAAGTACTCAGGTCTTGTACTTGAGTAAAAGTAGAAGTACTCAGGTCTTGTACTTGAGTAAAAGTAGAAGTACTCAGGTCTTGTACTTGAGTAAAAGTAGAAGTCCTGCATTCAAAATGTTCCTCAAGTAAAAGTAGAAAAGTATTCTCATCAAAATATAGTTAAAGTAGCGACAGTAAAAGTAGTCGTTGTGCAGATTGGTCCATTTCAGAATAATATATATGATATGTTTTATAATGATTGATCATTAAAGTGTTCTCAAAGCTGGTAAAGGTGCAGCTAGTTTGAATGACTTTGTATACTGCAGGGTAGCTTGTGAATTTACTCCAGGTGGAACTAAAGTCCGATTTAACACTTGATTATATTTCACATCATTCATCCACATCTGTAAAGTAACTAAAGCTATTAAATACATGTAGTGGAGTAGAAGTACACCATTTACCTCTGAACTGTAGTGGAGTAGAAGAACAAAGTAGCAACACATTGAAATACTTAAATAAAGTACAAGTATCTCAAAATTGTACCCAAGTATAGTACTTGTTGAGTTTATGAACTTAGTTACTTTACACCACTGGCTATACAGATAGAAAGACTAAGCCTTGCACAGAGGCATGAAAATACATTTTCAAAATGCTCAACAGTGCTGCCAAAATTATAAACTGACTGCTACACAATTCAAATAAATGCTTTTATATATTTCTATTAGATGTGACTCTTTGGCGTTTCTGTTATTAACTGCTTTAGTTGTTCTGACTGCTAAAATCCTCTGTTATTCCTCATTTTAAAGCCGATATTCCGTGGGGTCGGGGGGCTCGGATCCTTGTCACCTTTTTCACGGACCGTCTCCACAGCAGCGTTAAAAAAATCTTGGAGGTGGGCGTATCTGAGGCTTGGGGATTTTTTTGCGATCAATCAATCACATGAATCTCCCACCCGCGACATACGAAGCCAAAAAGCCCGAAGTAAACTGGATATAAACTCCCCAAAACAGGCGAAAACATACCACTGTCTCTGCCACCTCCCTCCATGCCTGGCTCCTCCGGTTTATATCCCGGTAGGTCTGGTCATAAAGCACCGGGTGATTGATTCGCTACCGCTAATTTCTCCTCCATTTTTTGGAATATGAGGAAATGACCTGTCTCTCCCAGCATACACGCCGTTTGATTGGCTAGAGCTTGAACTGCCAGATTTGCGTACACGGGATTTGATTGGCTGACGCTTCCTCCTCAGCTTCAAAAGTTGAACATTGTTCAACTTTGGATCTTGAAAATCCTGAGAATCTCCGCTCGCCTGCCCACAATGCATTTCGGCGAAAGCGAAAAAAAGTGACGTCACCCCATTCAAAGTGAATGGGCAGAAGCGTTTCAAGATTTTTTAACGCTGCCGTGGAGACGGCCCGTCATACCTGATGAGTTTGCATCCCTGAATATATATATATATATATATATATATATATATATACTCCCCCTTGTGGCCCAAGGGGGACACAACTCTTGTCTTCAGATGTATGCTTGAGTGTAGCAAAATGTAGCACATCAACTAAACATCATAAAACAATACATATTTTGTAAACGGGACATTATAATCTCCGCACATTAACTCTATATTTGCCTCTGCCATGGTGCCAAAATGAAATGAAATAAACAATATATATTCTCTGAACTTCTATGTATACTGCATCCCTCCAAATCAAATCAACCATAAACAAATACATAAAGTCGTGTTCACTGCAGCGATCTATTTCACACACAAAACTATATGAAAACTTGGTGATATACAGTGGCGTTTTCTCCTGGAGACCAAGGGAAGACAGGCTTCTCCTGTTTTTTCAGCCTTTGTTATCATTTTGATAATTAAAAATATATATTCTTGTCTGTGGTTGTTTTTGCATTCAGGGCATACAAGAGGTGTAACATTATTTTAATACCAAAACTATATTGAAATAGAGTCTAGCTTGAACAGCAACGTAGCTGTAACATTACTGGGTTATTTGGTGATAACTACCAAAGTAAAGTAACTTCAGACGCAGACGTCACGTAGCTTCTCAGACGAGAGGGGTGGCGACGAGAGTGTCACGTTACTTCTCTCGCGGCATAGTTCACGGCATGGTAGGCGACGATCGACATGATTGTCTGCTCAGTGAGTTCGTTCATTGGCACAAATCACACCTCATAGTGTTCGTTCATTGGCACAAATCACACCTCATATGTGTCCGGCATCACGTCTTCCTGGTCTCCAGCCTGCTCTCCGTCGCCTTGGGTGAGTTCAACTCAGGCCGGAGAGCTCAGTGCAACTTTAGAAAGAGTTTTAACCAGTGGCGGCTGGTGGTCTTTTATTTTGGTGGGGCTCTTGACGTACCGGAAGTGACCTGCCGGAAGTGACCTACCGGGGGGGTCCGGGGGGTTTACCCCCCCGGAAAAAAAATTCGAGAAATGACCCCTTAAATTATGACTTCTGGTGATGTTAGAGGGGTGGGGAAAGGAGAAATCGAGGCTTAAAAATATGAGAAGACTGATCAATACCTCCATAATCTTCAGTGTGGAAAATATTATTTATCAACCTGAACATCTAATACTTTACCAGGAATTTGTATTCTCAGAACTGGTCCGCATTTTTCTTTCTTAAAACTGTTCATGTTTTATGAACCAACACCTCCACCAAGTGGCTTTACAGTGAACTGCATGTGGGATATAAAATTAATAGCATATTTTCAGTAGCATTAATTATAAATATTTAAGTGGTTCAATACAAGTCACTACAGCATTTCAAACTGAACTGTGAATAAATGCAATTTAAAAAAAATAACCACAGCACAAAATGTCATAAATTGTGTTTTTTCTTTGTTTCTCTGAGGATTATTTACAAACAGGTTTATTTACATATAGCAATAACTCAGAAATGAAAAAGCTACATCGTCTAACACGAACAACCAGTTAGCATAATGATAATATATGTGTTATGTACAATGTAACTGGCAAGGCTAGAGCAAGAAAGAACATAAAGTTTGCAAAAGGTTTAAATAACTTCAAGTATCTGTCTTCAGATTACGTGGAGGTTTTAGTCCGATGGGAAGCAGATTTTAAGCGACACCGAAGATAAACCAAAGATGTGGTGGAGCTGCAAACCGTGTAGTGTTGCTGGGACAGGAGCTATAACCGTTGGAAAATACATCACAGACAATGCAACAAACGTGGAGACAGAACAATCACTTCTGTGATAAATGCCCACTTATTAATAAACTTCTAACAACCATGGGAAACCTACTCTCTACATATAAAGTGATATCCAGCTTATTGGCCTATAGCACCTTTTTTACTGCTTTGAATAACAAAATGTGCAACAGGCAGAAAAAAGACAAAAGGAAACAAGAAACAACTGTTCCTCTGGGGAAAATGAGTCGAACGCAACAGGTTTCCAAACAGTACTCATGTTCCTGGACTTTGTGGTTGAACAAAACATCTTAGGTATCCAAAAGTAACTTCACAACATTCTGCATTAATTATGCATTAACATTAATTGTCTCTCTAATGAAACGCATTTTTTTAAGGGTCGGCCATCTGTGTTTGCTGCGAGAGCTTGTGTGTGTGTGTGTGTGTGTGTGTGTGTGTGTGTGTGTGTGTCTATTTGTAGAGGAATTTTGCCCTTCTCTCCTTCTGAGTGGCAAACCTCTCAATGACTCTGGTGTTGAAGTCAGGAATGCTCCTAATGAGTTTTTTCTCAATTGACAGCATAGCCAGAGCATTCAGGCGATCCTGTGTCATGCTGTTCCTCAAGAAAGTCTTTATCCTTTTCAGAGTGGAAAAGCACCTCTCTGCCTCAGCCGTAGCCATGGGTGTGGTTACAAGAACCTTCAGAAGACTGACAGTCTCTGTAAATGTCTCCTGCAGATTATTGTCAAGGAAGAACTGGAGCAGAGTAACAGCACCACTGCAAGCCCTGAACTGGTCATTGTCATAGACGAGGGACAGTTCCGTCTTGAGCTTTGCCTTGTCCAGTAGAGGGTAGGCCTCCACAGTTGTTTCCAGCGCTGCTTCAGGGAATGTTCGGCTGTGCTGCTGGAACAGGTCTCCTTGCAGGAGGGTGGAGCTGATGAGGTGTTTGGTGAAGGAAAATCTCTCCTTTGCGTGACTCAGTATGGTATCACATACCTATGAAATAATGCACAATGAAAAAATCAAGACATAATAAATAACAGAATCACCTTTTCACATCTATCAGTCATAATGTCATTAGTGTCCCCTATAAGATGTGTAACAAACAAAGAGCTTTCTTGTGAATGGAACCTATCAGAATAACAGGACATCTATCTGAGCATCAACAGAACAATATTACTGTTTAAAATTAAGTCACTACAATATATACATTTAATGACTATGTTTACACTTCATTCATTTATTGTTGGGCCCTTTCTGTCCACTGTGGTTGCTTCTGGAAGCCTAAACCTTTTCTGATCTGTCTTGATCCCCTTTGAAATGTAGAGACTGTGGGACACTTTTTGCAGTTTAGGCCTTGTTAAGTGTATACAATTCAGAATGTAATAAGCAATAGGCCTTTCCATGTAGATATTTTAACTAGCCTACCTATTTATTTAATTTACAGAAAATGGGCTTTCTTGTGAAATGTATCATTATTGTGATATGAAATGACCTATATTATGAAAGGAGCTTTTAGTCATAGAACACGTTCCTATTACTGCTTACCTCTCTAGCCAACAGCTGTTGCTCTTCATGTCCAAGTCCCCTCCGTTTCTTTGTGGGCAGCTGCTGAGATCCACTGCTTTCACCAGAAGGAATGGAGTCCCTGATCCAAACCACAAGTAACCATGTACAATTACTCATTGTGGCAAGAATTGACAAATTAACTTGACTATTTGAAATAGTAGTCAGAGATACACCTTATAAACGTTATATAATATATACATTTCCAGTAAGCCTGTTTAAGATATTTAAACAAGTATGTGTGAGTTGGTCTATTGTGTTCAGCTAAATCACATTTAGGTTTCACAGATTTCCTATAATAAGCACATCTCAGCCATTGTAAATAATGATTTACCTGATTGTTTGTATGCTGCTGGTGAACCTCTTGATGAGTCCTGTGATGTAGACAGAGTCGATGTTCCTCTTCTGCAGTTGGCTAAACAGCATGTCTACATGTGGCATGATCTTGTGGAACAATGTCAGGAAAAAGCAAAAAACTTCATCTTCCATCATTCGCACAAAGCCCCCGGCTTCTCTCACTGTTATGGGATCAAAGTCACCTGAGTCTCTGATCGTCTGGAAACACCTCAGGATGTTCTCCTTGTGCTCATATACAGTGTTAACAGCACGACTGTGAAAGTTCCATCTTGTTGTGGAAGTGCCAGGAAGTCTGTGTGCCACCACTTGATCCAGGATCGCAGTTCGCTTGAATGACCTGGAGAAAAATGCAGCAAATCCACCAAGGTCTGAAAAAAATGTTCTTATCTTGGGGATGTGGGATGTTGCCTGCTGCATAATTAGGTTCAGCTGATGCGCATAGCAGTGGATGTAGTGCGCACTACTGTACACATCCTTCACTTTCCGCTGAACTCCACCTTTAGCTCCCCTCATCACCGCTGCACCGTCATAGGCTTGGGCGATTAGTTTGCCCTGTTGTCCATCGGGGAGGATAGTGCCCAGCCTCTCCATCAGCGCGGTGGCAACTGTGTCAGCATTCGCATTCTGAAGAGGAATGAACTCAAAAAAACGCTCCTGGACGTTGTTATGCGGGTCGATGTAGCGTAGCACAAGCACTAACTGGCAGTGGGTGGAAATGTCAGTTGTCTCATCCGCCTGAATAGCTAAATAACTGGCATTTTTTACTTCCTCCAGAATGTAGTCTTTACAAACTGATAACATGCAGTCCAAAAGTTCATTTTGCACCGTCTTTGAGGTGCCTTTGAAAACCGTAGCCGTTTTAAGGTGATCCTCCAACACGCTATCTAACGAGGCCAGTAGATTAACTAAACCCAGAAAAACGCCGGGGTTGTCGGATGTGTCAGCCTCGTCGTGGCCACGCAAAGCCAGGTCAAAGCCCCCACAAAATTTCACACAATCAATTATTTTAGACAAGACGTGCCTATTCTTGTCCACTTCTTCATTGTGCTTTTTCACCGAGATCTTGTACCCTTGATCTAGCTGTGCGGCTATGTTAGCTTTGCCTAGCATGGCTAGCTTAAAGGTGTTTGTCATGTGTGCCTTAGTGCACTCGTGCTTTTTAATTTTGTTGGACAAATGCTTCATATCGTTTACTCCTATCACAGTCCACGGGCACATTGTATCTGTCCCCGGCTGTTTGAAGAGCAAGCATGGGAAACAAAAGACAGCATTTACCTGTTTGCATCCAGCTAGCCAAGCCTTTCTTGTGTACCAGCTACTTGTGAAGCCTCGTGTATAAATTTTGTCTTTTTCACGAGATTGCTGCGATATATTCAAATCGGGTTGATCCGGTCCAAGGTCTTTAAGCAACAATTTATCTGCCAAACTTCTCCTTTCGAAAGGATTGGAGATTAGCTCTTGAACAGAATTAGGCGAGGACCGAGGTCCGGAGACTCCACCTGCACACGAAGCCATCCTCATCAACTACTGCGTCAACCGGATACGAGTCACTGTCCAAACTACTCCCAGACTGCACTGGGCGCTGACATTGGCGCCCGGTGACCGTCATCTTTGACGACGCTGATTGGCTGAAATTATATTTTCGCGGCATAGTTTACACGTTACAGATAGCAACAGTCAGCTGCTGGTGGCTGCTGCTGCACTGGTTGAAGGCTCCTCTCTTAGCGCCCAGACGAGAGAAGGTGCATGGGCAAGGCCAGGCAGGAAACATGTGACTTATCAGTAACTTTAGACATCGTAACACAATTTTAAACGAGATTTTATTGTAGATTATACATTTTACTGATACCAATTATATAATATTTACCTTGTTCATTAAAAATAAAAATAAAAACATATATTTTTTTAAACATATTTTTTTTTTAATTTTAATTTTAATTATTATTATTATTATTTTTTTTCAATATGGGAAGAGGTGGGGCGGCGCCCCTAGCGCCCCTATGGACCGGCCGCCACTGGTTTTAACTGAATTATAAAACTGCTCTTTCAACGTTTTAAAACTGGCTTACACACTTTAGCGGTGTCTTGTTTTATGCTCATTTTAACTCGTTGTTTAGCTGACTTCGGTTGCTTGTTGTATGTCTTATCGTTGGTTTTCTTGGTATTTAATTTCAGTTTCTTTGTTACTAATCGTGATGGGTATTAAGCGCAGTTAAACTAAATGAACGGTATATTTGTTTTATTTCCAATAAGAAACATACTCAATTTCATTGTAATTAAGTAGCCTACATGCACTCAATTACTGTACTAAAAAGTAAGTTATTATAGGTTAAAGGAGGTGGGGTAGGTAAGTTTGAGAAACCGGCTCGAGATCGCTAGAATTTGAAAATACACGACCGGAGAAAATCTGCCACTTCCTTATAGAGCCCCTCCTCCAACACACACGAACGCGCACATGACCAATGAGGTCACGAGATAAGTTTGTGCACAGATGGAAGGCTGACAGGCAGGTAGGCCATCCAGTTATTTTAGCCGGGCCGGCTAAAATGATTGGTCGTGCTTTTTACAGTATTACGGCTTCCACAGATGACATTTTTAAGATTCTTAAGATATTCATTGCTATCGGGATGTTAAGAGCATTCCGTGGAATATAACAAAAAGTGTATCTCGAGCCGGTTTCTCAAACTTACCTACCCTACCTTTAAGTTAGCCAGTAGTAAAACAAAAGTAATTAAAACTGCGGTCACAGGAGTGTGCGCAGTGATGAGCGGGCCCTCGCGTCCGTGCGCCTGTCGGGGAGGGCGGCCAGTCCTCCCGGCGTCAAGCAGACGTGCGCGAGTCCTGGGAAATGAGCCGTTTGTCATTTCTCTCATTTTCGCGTCCCAGGGTCCTTCTCAGGTCGATTAAATGGAATCCTTGCGTCCCTCACTTGCGTCGTTTCCCTGCGTTTAGTCCCTTCCACCAGGGAAGCATGGAGAGACGCAAGGAAACCACAAGAAGCAGGGAAATGAGTTTTAACTTTTAAGAGCAATGGAACGTCCTTTCCTCTGGAGCGCCACGTGAAGCGACGTCCGTTTGTGATGACGCCGCACAGCTGTTCGTCTGACAGCAGCCAGCTCTGTCCCCGTTATTTTCACAAACACCCCCGCCTCTGTTAGTACACATTAGGCTTGTTTGAGACAAGCGAGACCTGCGCAGACCTGCGCAATTGAGATCAACGTCTTGCTAGTGCGTTGCATGATGGTTAGTCATTTTGTCCGACTTGCTCTGGAGGCTCGCCTACATGAGACGTTGAAATCTCGCGGGACAAAGACGCCCGCAGACTTGAGAGCGAGGCGCGGCGAGGCGGCGCAGTTTCTCTCCACGGGCTGCGGAAGCGAAATGCTTGATGGGAAACGACCAAGCCCCCAGGAAGTGCGCCGGACTATGATGAAAATATTCGTGCTGGCCAAACGGCGGTACTACACTTCCTTTTGGTTGCCAGGCCCGGAAACACTTTTTCCCATTGACTTACATGGGGAAAGAGTGGTCTGTAAATCGTTGGATAATTTTTTTTAAACTAAATAAACTACCCAGTATGAACACTTGTATAGCCCTTATTAAAAACATTCGTTCCTCAAGTTGTAAAAATGTGCTAATAACGTTATTCTGCAAGTTATTTCCCTCTGCATTATGAACGCGCATCTAACCCACGGGACCGCGCCGCCTGGCACGTTCATGTTACGTGTTCAGCACTACATGCGTTTATCTTTACCCATGGATGCACAATAAGAACGGACCCATATCGCCTTACTGCCAGCCCACGGAGCTGTAATAATGGATATATTGCACATGTTTGCTGTAATTCATCATTTGTAAAATATTATACTACATGGGCTGTATGATTAAATCTTGTACCGTAAATGTTGTATTAAATAAAGTTAATATTACCGACGTAGATTAACGTCCCTGTAGCTTCTTATTGCACTAAGAAGCTTATTGCACTGTGTGTGTATATATATATATATATATATATATATATATATATATATATATATATATATATATATATATATATATATATATATATATATAATATATTATACTATATATATATATATATATATATATATATATCATATATCTATATATATATATATATATATAGATATATGATATATATATATATATATATAGATATATGATATATATGACATGTGTTGTTGACCAGAGATGTAGTTCATTGAGCGTTTCACACAAACAAATGTGTTACTTCACAGTTTTACGACACATTTTTTTTTTTTTTTACTTGCAAAATTATCTTTTAAATTGACAAACATCATATGTGTAATTCATGGCACAATTCAAACGGGATCGAAAGATACGTTTTCTCTCCCCATTGACTTCAATGCATAATTTTTCCGAAATAAGGTCCCATTACCCGGAAGTAAGTGGGCGTGACTTCGCCACTCTATTATACATCCATGGAAACGACTTGCTGGTATCTCGAGCTGAGCGCTCATTGGTGGGTTTTACCCCGTGCTGGGGATGAAACTCTCCATTGGCTCGGCAAAAGTGTGTTGTTTTGTGTCAGTTTTACGTCGCCACTTCCATTCACATTATTCATCATTGTTCCACAATGTTTATCATCATTAAATTAATATCTATATATTTGTATACTATACTTGCACTGCTTACCGTTGTCATACTTTATATATCTTAGCATATTCATACAACACACTGTTCATACTGCTCATAGACTACTGTGTATAGTGTATTCATACCCCTCACTGTTTATTCATCATTCAATTCATTCTATATTTTATTCTGTAGATTGTGTACATTACTTTTCACTTTACTGCTTTATGCACTCCTGGTTAGAAGCTAAACTGCATTTCGTTGTCTCAGTACCTGTAATCTGTGCAATAACAATAAAGTTGAATCTAATCTTGAGCAGGAACAAATGTATTTACTTAGTACATATCTGACATTAACGATTAAACACATTTGTCCATTCTTTATCAATCAATCAATGTTTATTTATATAGCCCAATATCACAAATGTTACATTTGTCTCAGTGGACTTCACAGTTTGTACAGAATATCAGTATGACAATACGACACCCTCTGTCCTTACGTTTCACATCATACAAGGAAAAACTTCCAGAGAAAAACCCACAGTTTAAAGGGGAAATGGGAGAAACCTCAGGGAGAGCAACAGAGGAGGGATCCCTCTCCCAGGACGGACAGACGTGCAATAGATGCCGTGTGCATTTATAAATGCAAACCGAGTCAAGCCGACTCCGGAGGTGGCGGTATGCACCTTAAAGTTGTTTGAAATCCGCCAAAAAACCGAGAGAAGAAGAAGAAGAAGAAGAAGAAGAAGCCGACTCCGAGCTGTCCGACTTCAGGCGAGCTTTTTGAGACCTCCCCCGGCTGCGATCGGCTATTCTCGTCTACTTTCGAGGCAAGCCGCAGCTCGTCTCAAACAAGCCTATGTACTGACACAAACATTTGTATCATCTGTTGTAGACCCAAATAAATAAAATCAAATAAGAACTCATTCTCAAAAAAGATAAACGCCATTCTTAAAATGTATAAACGAACATTAGTTAGATTAATATTGATTAGAGTGCACAATAGAAATAAAATAATTCAGAGAAGAAAAAGAGATGTTATCTATCAAAACCCAGTTAGATTAACATTCATTGGATTGCACACTTTGTTTGTGTGGATATGTAGCAAATTAACATTTTAAATAGTACTTAATGACTGACTGAATGGAAATGACAATAAATGAAAATGTAAAACGAAAAAGCGATCATGAAAATGTTTCCAATAAATGAATAAAATAATTTTTGACCACTTTGTTGTTCAGATATATCACATATTTGTAACTGAATGATGCATTAATTGAAACAAAACACAGTATAAACTGAGGAGTGAGTCCCGCAGGGTCTCTCATGTCTTTGCTTACGGGAGGGGGGTCTTTAATGTCCCCAAATATGGGATCTGTAGCAATTTTTACTTGCCTTTCAAGGAATTCGACAATATCCTTGAAGGCAGCTCTTTGGTGGTGTTTTTCCTGGATGTCACATGCTACAGTTCTCCATAAATCCCTCAGCCTATATGGAAGTTTCTTTAAAATGGCTAGCATGTTTGCTGGAATGTTGAGCTCAAACATGTAGTTGACATCTTCCATCGCATTGCAACATCCTCTAAGGTAGACCGTGTATGCCTGTAGAGCCCTTGTGTCCTCAGCCCTTATTAATGACCATGAAAGAGCTCTTTCCATGTATGCTGTAGCAATTTTATGTTCATTGCCAAAGTTCTGTTGT